TGCTCCAAACCTTTATTAATATTATTGTACAATTCAATAATGAATATACACACTTTCAAACTTCTCTATATGACTATATCTGACTAATTCAAACCACAAATCGTATCTATGATATCCTCACCTGTGAGTTGTCAAGCTACTACGTCGCAGCTTACAATGGCAAGGAATCCGCAACAGCATAAGTGCCACTTACTGCGGGCCCGAGATATGCGCGATACGCGCATATGTATACATTACATTTACAGCCAAATCAGCTGATTACTCGCCTCGATGAGCTAGAGGCCACAGAGAGACAATGTACTGCTCGCCATTGTTGGCATGTTACATTATAGCTATAATACTGCTAAACTGAGAAAACTGCCAATGCGTCAATGTTTTCTTAAGACCGTAGGCTCATTCAGGTCACGGTTGTAGAAATATATATGCAGAGCGGAAAATATTGCTGGTTAAAAAGCAATTGCAATTACGGTGACCTCACAAGGTAATTCCCGATATTATACACAATTACCTTTTTCTAAGGTGATTAAAGATTACATTTTGTAGTGTATCTTGTACTGATCGTATATTTTTAGAACATGTGGACGTATAAACGTCATGACTCATGGTTAGTGAAATTGTTAACCAATATTGTCACAAGGAACAACGGACGCAACATTTTATCCGCAGCCACAATTAAAACGGTCTGCATAAGCCTCAACACCCAACAGACATAAGCTTATGTTGTTCTAGAATTGTATGACCATATGCCCAGGGCTGTGAATACTCGTTACGCATGTAACACGTTACAGATGCCCGTTACAGTTTTTGTTATTTTCAAAAACATGAACAACGTTCAAAATGCAAAAACAAACAGTTGGGGGAAAAACTTGGTTTCCAGACTCGTATGCCTTTGCACGAGAAATGTAAACAGGATAATGCCATTGCTGAACAGGCTTAAAACCAAATTCATGTCTGAAACTGGCCACGATAAGACAGGAATGCACGTCTGGTGTAAACGTGCAAGCGTATATATATGTGTGTGTTATCTCACATTTGCAAGCTATCCTTACACGAGCAATTCTGGTTTGGTTTCTCCCTTTACGCCCTGGAACAATCTCTTTGTTTTAAGAAGACTGAATTGATATCAAATAGTCTTCCCAACAAGTACACAATACTTTTCAGGGGAACGTTTTTTCACACCTGAGCGACGCTGACACCGTACCTAACATAATAATGATAATATTGCTATACTCTATGAAATATCACGAGCCATGCAGGTGTATTTCAATACCATGCAGTCATCATGCAAATTGGGTCATATAGACCGTGCAGGATTGTTAGTTATTGTACTGGTACTTCACAATTATGGTTCCAAATTGTACAATAATAGACCAGAATCAGGCAGTTTCCACACGTGTGTTTATATACAGTATGTCTAGCTCTACATATTGCTACCTTACAACATAACGTTAAACTCATTCTAAGCTATGAGTTCGGTACACTAAAATATTACTGACGTAATGCTAATTGGATTTTCCTTGTATCATTATTCAATAAATCAACTCAATGAGCAAAATGTCTGGTAAATACAGTGAACAGACAACAGTTGGTTGTTAACCATGGTTGTTGCCTATAACAAGGTGGTGTATCAGAATTATATGATGTTCATTATACTTCATTATAGTTCAATTATGTAGTTTCCACTACATTGTAAAACCAATCAGTTACTTACCATGCAAAAGACATCGTCGAAAACGTGGGCATGTCACAAGTAATGTTTACAAACATTCTAATGACTGTGGAGCCAGGGAACTATATGGCTGCATGGGTCCTTCTACAGAGTAAAAACCATTGACTACACATCCGTGGTAAAAACTGAAGAGGTGCAATGTTTTCTGACAGAGTATGTCTTGCAGACAGATTATAGACTTGCAAAAGGGCAAATTGTGTTACAATACAATTTAGAAATACTCCTTATGGGAGGCCATTACTGGCACAGTGAACAGTATGCCAATTTATTTAATATATAAACTGTGTTTGATTAATTTAATTAGTAACAATGTTGCAGAGCATTTGTTAAACATTCTACAAGCAAGTAGAACAAGCTACTAAAATCAGTGGTTGTGTGGAAGTCACCTACCACGACAAAAAATTTCTCTGAGGAATTTTAACAAATAACAGACTTTGGAAAACTGCTGATATTATGTGGGCCCCACACACAAGTGGGAATCCTAATTCCTTTGCACAGGTTTACTCGGAACAAGGGTCGTTGGCCTGATGATTTTCCTGGTAAAGTGATATTATCGGCGTTAATACTAAACTATTGAGTTTTGAGTATTGCATTATGGATATAGCATGAAAAATACTGGTAATACTGTTCAGTTCCAAGCAAAATTTTAGGGAATACTCATGACGAATATGCATACAACATTCAAATATGCATTTAATTCATTATATTATTGAAGATTATCACTGACAATCTTTGCTGTTAATTAATTTACCATTCCATGAGTGTTAGCTCAATTTCACCTTTTGTGAAATGGTTATACATGGCTCTCGTGATTCCAACACTTTGAATATCTCACATGACTCCTTAGTGACGTAGTCCAATGACGAAATAGAATTTAAAAATTAAATGAGACTTACCTTAAGTCGAAATTTGATTGTAATTCTATGAGTCTTTGGACAAGGAAACTAAGGAGTCACCCACCCATGACATTTTTGGGTTTGTGGTTATAAGTCAGTGTTGGGCACTGGATTGGCGAATACACAAGAAATGTCCTGTTCAGTCTTGCCCACCCCTATACGGTATCTATTCTGTTGAAATCACTCGTTGCTTTAAATATTGAACATTCGATCTGCGTGCGCATATCTCACATGACTCCTTAGTTTCCTTGTCCAAAGACTCATAAAATTACAATCAAATTTCGACTTAAGGTAAGTCTCATTTAATTTTTAAATTTTACGGTAATTTTCATTATAGTTTTAACGGTTTTATAGATCACAAATTGTAGTTTTTTACCTGATGATGGAGTAAACTCCGAAACGTCGTATTAAATTAAATTAAAAACTTAAGCCTTGTTATAGTCATTATAAAAAACAAAAGAATATATTATTAAAATGAGGCTAAGGGAAAGTTCGATACTAAATATACTGATAATTTTATCGTTTTCGTTGTACAGGGTGCACAGTATAAAAAAACGCAGCTCGGAATTTCCTAAGAAATCCACTTTGCAATTCTTAAGCATAAAATATTTTAGGCCCCTGGGAATTGAAATCGAATTGCTAGTAATAGATCATATTAGTGTGAGGGGTATAGCCGTTTAGGGTTTTTAAAGTACTACCCCTCCCCCCAAAATACTGTGCGAAGATGTGGATATATTTCGTCAAGGCGTGAGTGCGGGTTTATATTCTGTCGTTTTAGTCGTAAAATACGGTTTTGAAGGCTTGTTAAATGCGGATTTTCGGTTGAATGTGACGGTGTTGGTACTGGGAAGTAAACAATACGAATTTTTCGAAAAATTAAGTAAGATTTGGTCGTGTTTGTAAGGGATTTTTGCGTGTACGTTGTGTGATCTTTTGATATTTCGCTATGGCGGAAGCTGACGAGGAAATTGAAGTGTTACAGCTGAAGCTAGAGTCTGAAATTTGTGGCCTCACGATGGAAGCACTCGTGGAATTCGTGCAGCACGTAAAAGTAAAGGCATGTACTAAAACCCGAAACAACTGGAACGAAACCACCGGAACAACCGGAAATGACCGGAACCACCGAAACCAAAATCGAACATGATCGGAACAAAGTAGTAGAACACGACCGGGACGATAGTTACCGTATTTAGGTCTCATACATACAGACAGTACATCTAAATTAAACATCTAAAATTGGCTACTACTTCACGGATTTTAGTAAGCATGAGAAAAGGACACTGTATACATCTCGCTTTTCTCTTCTCTAATTTTCTTAATATGTCCCTCGCCTTTAGAATATATACAAAACAATTATACGGCCTAGTTTTCACCTGATTGAATTGTACTGTTTTCATGCAAATTTGAAAAGAAAATAGCTTTGTTTCGTTTAGCTTTTCCATGTCTTCCACGCTGCCGTGAAGCCCTGATTCCACGAGCGCTTTTTGTCAGCGAAATGCGAAATATTTCGCCTGTTTCTTTTGAATTGTGAGCAATCGAGTAGAAAGAATTTATTCGAGTGGTCGCAATTCAAAAGAAACAGGCGAAATATTTCGCATTTCGCCGACAAAAAGCGCTCGTGGAATCAGGCCTTAGCGATAATGTAAATTCGTAAACTCGCACGGGAAATACAAGTCACGTGGTAACAAGTGCTTAGTAATAAGGGAGGGGAGGTCAAGGAGGTGGAATTCCGATTCGTCCCGGTCGTGTTCGATTTTGGTTTCGGTGGTCCCGGTCTTTTCCGATTCTTGTTCCGGTCGTTCCGGTGGTTTCGTTCCGGTTGTTTCGTTCCGTTTGTTTCGGGTTTTAGTACATGCCAAAAGTAAATACTGAAAGTCTGAAAGGGTTAAGAAAAATTCAATTATCAAAGGGAGTTCGTCAGAAAATCGAAGCAAATCTGGAGAAATCGGGTGACAAGAAAGCTTTACTTGAGGGCTATATTACGATGGTGACACCCGAGCCACCCCCATTAGAGACTCCAGATAAGTGAGAAAACGCAGGAAAATGAGGACGGAGTACAAACGAGTAAAACTGATTCGGAAACTGTCTCAAACCCCTCAAAAGATCTGGTTGATAAATTAAATGTAGATTTGGTAAAAGCACTAAAGCGTGATTTTAAGATCATCGGAGTAATTGGTGGGGACAAACAAAGGGACAGCTTGACGTCTTTTGTCAGTCTGTTCAGACAGATCGAAACTGCAAAATTAAATCAGGCTATAAGGAGTCTGTGATTGTCGAAGCAGTTATTAGAGCTGTGAGTCCAAACTTGAAGCTTCGCTCGTATCTCGAGATGATGAACGATATGTCGTTAGTTCGTTTAAAGCAAATCTTACGGGCGCACTTTAAAGAAAAATCTGGAACAGAAATGTATCAAGGATTAACTTCACTATATCAAGGCCCAAAGGAGTCGGCACAGGACTTCTTAATAAGAGAACCTTCGTCAGCAAGTAACATTTGCATCTCAAGCGGACGATAGTGTTGTCAAGTATGAAAAATCACTGGTACAATCTCTATTCTTGCATGTTGTTGAGACAGGGATGCAGCAAGAATCAACACGGGCTAAGTTACGTCCTTTCGTGGAAAAGCCTGGAGTTACTGACGAGGAATTAATGGAACGAGTTAATGTTGCTGTGTCGGCAGAAACGGAGCGACAAAACAAGATGGCTGGAGTCAAGAAAGGTGCTCAAGTTAATGAAGTGGTGACTAACCAGCAGGCATCGATAAAATGCGCGAGCGTCCGAGCGCCGCTCGCAGGCACCTTTTACATTTTTGCAGGCACATTTTAAAATACTGACATTTTAACAATATTTAGGTCACAAAATCTAAATAAGATGTGTTTTTGCAGGCACATTTTGAATTTCGCTCGCAGGCACGAAAAAATGTTATTGAGGCCTGCTAACCAGGAACCTGGTTGGGCAAGTCAAAACGACAATGAAGATCCGGCCAGTAAGAAAAAAAGCACAAAGTCGAAGAAGAATTTGACAGACGAAGATACAGTAAAGACAAGTTGACTGCAACTCTGGAATATAACAAACTGATTTGGCATCGTTAAAGGAAGCATTCTACCGGTCACAACAAAATTAGGGGGGGGGGGGGAGCTGATATAAATGGACCATCGCACAGTCCTGACAGTCGACAAAAGCAAACTTAAGGATACTAGCAACTTAAAATCTGGCATCCACCCAGAATATAGATTTTGCAAAACATCTTTTTGTTCACGATTGATTGATCATTTGACATTTATTTTAAAATGTGGTCTTTCTTCCCCTTGTTCATCAGTTAATATTTGCTGTGTCTCAGGAGATTTTTTTGTTCGCTCAGTTTTGTATACCGTAATGTATCTTTATTTAACATTTTGCCAACATATTTTGAGTGTGTGAAGATGAGCTATTTCCATTTACAGTGTGGCGTGAAATGTATATGTTAATAGGCAGCTACAGATTGGTTGGGCTGAAGATACAATCATGGAACAATTACTTTAGGACAAGTTGAAAACCTTTATTATTTGAAAAGAAAGTAGAATATTTCGGGCTTACATTGTGCTTCCCCCCCCTCCCCATCTCCCATACAATGTTGTGCAAGAACATATGGTAATCACAAGTATTAACTCCACATTTTGTGATAGGAAATAGCCTGGAACCATTACATAATGATTGTAAGGTGGGGGGAGGGGGGAGAGCTGGGTAACGTTTATGTATGAATGTACGATCTGCGACAATAATTTAAAAGCCGCCTGTAACAGTTTTCTTTTTATAGATATTACAATGCTGTTTGAGTGACACTTTTATAGTGATTGTCCCGACTAATTATTCTATGATTGTAATTATGAAGATAAACGCTTATTTTGAATTTCAAAGCGTGTCTTCTCTGCATGCTAGCAACAGAATTTTGTCAAAAAATATAAGTCATGGACAGAATTTTTTAAATTCAGTATCCCTTGGGATACTGAGCTTGTGATTTCCAGTATCCAAATTTTAAAATCTGGTATCGCCGGGATATTGGGATACTGCAAATTTGAAGCCCTGGCCGTACCTATATTAATTTCGTCTAAACTCCAATTTTAAAATTGTTTTGTTCCAGGGGTTTCAGAATGATTTGAAGTAGGCGGCTGTACCAAAAAAGTAGTAGCCGGCTGTGACTGATAGTTGACAACAATCAAATAATATAGAATAAGTAAAAAGACAAAGTACAACTGTTAAGTTAGATTTAGATGTCATGGGGGCCACCGACTTATTCTGAAATGCCTGTGTTCTACATAAATTTTCAATAATTTTTGTGAATGTTATTTTCGTCTGTATAGCCAATAAGCATAATTTTTACCACTTTTTTAATCATATGCCTCACGCTAATATGGCACACAATATGCCGCACACGCCTGCCCAAATACTTCCAGCCTGTGCATGGTGATAAAACTTGCACCTTCGTGTATCTAGACAACTGGACCGCCATTCTACCCAATGAGCTATTGATCGAGTCAACTGGGATTGGTAGTGAGAATTATCCAATTTTAGTGCAACATATTCTATACTCACAGATGTTGCTGAGTCTTTGTGGTTACTTGAATCTGGCGTGAGTGTGAGGCAGTTAAACAATGGGAAATGACCAGTTGCCTGCAAATCGGTCCTACCTTCCAGAACAGGACATTGGGCTGGAGTACGTGTTTGTTCTTTTGATTTGGCAAGTAAAGCACAACAAATGGGTAAAATGGCAAAATTTGCAAGGTGCCCGGTTTGCAAAAACAACTGCAAACTGCTCTAATTCTTTCTGTCACTTTCATTTGATCTTATCCGCGAGTCGGCCTCAACAGCCTAGTTGATTTAACATTCTCTGCAGTGTCAGAATAATATGAAACTAGTTTTTTTTATACTCCACGGTAAATAATGCACCTATCAATGTTAACCCCGAGGGGGCGGGGGGCGGGCAAAGGGTGGGGATTTGATCAATCAGGTGGTCCCATGGGTCGGGATTTGGACTGACACTTTTTTTCTAAGTGGCCCGGGGGTGGGGATTTTTGACAGATTAACACTGATCTCAGACGATATACTGAAGAAACCTTAGCCAATTTTAGAACAAACTCTGACTCGTCCCCAGTCGCCCGCTGTAAAAAGGGACTGTGGAAGAGTCAGGAATAAACTGAAGACTGGGCACTAGTTTATCGCTCGCTGTCTTGCGCGTTGTTTTTACAAGAAATATGGAGATTTCTGGACAAGAATAAACACTTATAATCCATTTTATAATTATATTAATATCGATTTATACAAATATGTTAAAAGTTCACATTATGTACTATTTAAAACACGAGTACGAGTGTGTTTTATCAGATATAAAACGCGAGGCGCACAACTTAAAATACGACTACAAAAGAATACTAATTAGGGCGAACAATTATACAAGAATACTGACAATATAATTATATAAGAATACTGTGTTTTATTAGCCTGCGTTCCAGTCCACTACACCGTGGTGTAGCGGACTGGAACACATGCTAGTGTTTTATCAGATATTATAAACTCACTTCACGTGACATAATATGGCTGACATGATTAGCCGCAAGGTATATGAATTATTAATGAGTATTTTAAGTTATTTTGAAACGTTCTTTATATTTGTTATACTTTTAAATTATACCGCCAAATGTATTTGTGTAATTTCCTTATCACCTGACATATAGATTATAGAGTGCACCAGAAACCAAATACCTCAGGAATACAATTTCATCCCGGGGGTGGGAAATTTTGCCCAGGAATTTTCTCCCGAGGGAGTGGCATTTGACATTTTTTTTTGTAAAAATGTCAAATCCCCACCCCTTGCCCGACCCCCCTCCCTCAGGGTTAACATTGATAGGTGCATAAGGTAATCATTGGTCCTGAAATTATTGCTATTTGATGCTTGGAATTTGAGTTTGTGTCGCAAAGTACTTTATTTGTGAATATAATGATTTTTTTGTAATGATTAAATTAAAATTGCCCTGGCCTTCAACTATCGATCTAGACTGTATGTCTGAATATACATTGTCAACATTGAAGATTTTATGTTTCTATAGTCTATACAGTATCAACGAAACGGAAATTCGTCTCAAGTTTATATTGCGAATGTAGTAAAACAAGTGAAGCATATTATCTACAAATTTCCAAAGTAACATTGATATTATTTATTACTATAAGTGTAAAAGTGAAGCCTCTACAACATTCAAAACACTTCCATACGGAAATTTCATGGCCAGTATGAAACTTACCCGTGGTGATTTTTTATCCGTATTTCTGCTCACCAATGCTGGATTATCATATTTCACCAGCGACGCATTTGGAGGAATCATTTTGCCAAGAAAAAGATCGTAAAATGCCTCAAAAAACAAATTCAACACACAACTGATAAAGCAATTGTTTCTCTCTGGCAAAGTGGCAACGTTTTGCCGCTTGTTACCATGGCAACCTATTCGCTGTCACAGAATGCCGCTGTTATCGAAAATCGACACTGCTGGCGCTGCCTCCTCCGCAGGCCCTCGTTGTGTCATGGGAACTCACGTTCCCATGACGCAACGAGGGCCTGCGGAGGAGGCAGCTAAAAAGGCCATGGGGACGAGGTTGAATAATGAAATATATAGACATACTACAGAATAAAGACACACAGAATGTCGATTATATTCGGCCAGAAAATAGTAACCGTCATCAAAATGCTGTCGCAGGTGGTATGCCTTGTGGACGTTTTGAATATTATCAGGGGGGGGGGGGTGAATGCCTCTCACAAGCGCACTGGGTGTAAGCCAGTGAACTATATACTATATACTATATATGTTATATAGTTCAGTGGTGTAAGCATCTTGATGACGAATATGTGACGGTTACCCAAAATCATAGGAAAACCCAAGAAGGGCAGAGAACTTGGACTTGCAGGCTGGGTAAGGTTTTGAAGGCTACAGCCTGAGATTGTGCTCAAAATCTAGTTAGTTTCAATCTAGTAATCTACAAACTCTCTTTTGTAGAGCACTAGCTGAAAGCCGAAATGTGCTAAAACCCAGAATACTCAAGAAACTACCAAAAAGCGATATCTCCAAATTAAAATACGGAATCCTTAGAAGAATTCCACAATTTCTAAATTCTAAAAGCTTTGGATATTAAAAGCGGAAACTTAGCTACGGAATCATGTATCAGACCACGGTTAATAGAATTAGATGGTTAGGCTAGCTGGACCACGTGACAAATATGTTATTGTTCATTTTTATTTTTGGTCACGTGACGAGGAAAGGGGGTGCTTTGTGATGAGTGATTAGGAAAACATATGAGTGAGAACATAATATGCCAAGAAAAGATCATATTTCAAAGCGCTAGAGGGTTTCTGAGATCAAGATGGAAATTGAAACAGAAAGCGAACAAACATACGAACCTATTTTGAACGTTGGAGATGAAAATATCGAAGAAAGCGAGCGTCGTGAACAGTTCATGATCGAGGGGACAAACGCTTTGTTTATACACCGCGTTTGGATAATTGTATTTTTGCCGTTGTTTTAGTATGTCAGGATACGGTTAAACGTTTGAAGTAATATTGAACAGTATGGTTGGCTCTAATTGTGCTTTGTATGGCTGTCCGACCAGCAGAACGCGTGAATTTGCAATTTTTAAAATCCCTGTTGAGTGTTGTTGGCGCAGCCGATGTAGTCTGCGTAGGAGACTACAGCCGATGGTGAACAAGAAGAGAAATG